CTTTCCCACTCTTGTTTTTGAGCCAGGTGCCTCTAACTCACACAGGTAATCCTAACTACACAGGAAGCTGAGACCTTGATCCTCACAGTTTGAAGCAACCTGAGCAGAAAGTCCCTGAAAGTTCATCTCCAGTTACTTAGCAAAATCCCAGCTGTAAGTAGGCTCTAGCCGTGAGCAAGCAAGTGGAACAAGCCAACCGCCACCCCAATGCTGGAACATCTCTTAATGTTTCCATTTCATTCTTTCAACCAGAATGCCCACCTAGCAGAAGACACTAAATGGGGGTTAGGTTGATGGTGCCACTGAAATAGCAGTGAAAACCCTGAACTGCTCCCAGACAAGGAGAAAACAGGCAGCCAACAATGTGCTGAAAGTGTAAGAAAAGTATTGTAAAATCAGAAACAAAAATAGAAATTAGTCAGGCCAAATTAGCAAAATACTCATTTTTAAGTCACTCATGGGGCTTTTATCAAGGACTGGGCGCTGTCCCTGAGCTTTTTTTGCTCAAGGCTAGAGCTCTACCACTTGAGCCATAGCGCCACTTCTGGCTTTTTCTGCTCATGTGGTGCTGAGGAATCGAACCCAGGGCCTCATGCGTGCAAGGTAAGCACTCCACCACTAAGCCACCTTCCCAGCCCAAATGTCCAATTTTACTAGCTAACTTACCCAAGCACTGTAAGTGCGTCTCCAGGCCTCCCCACCACTCCATCCCTAGAGGACTGTTACTGCTGTGCCCTTCTCATGAGTGCTACTTTGCTTCTCAATGACATGGGTCTTTGTCTGTCCTCCTGCGTTAGCCTCCCTTCAAATACTAGCATGCCTCTAAGAAGTCCTGCTCATTCATTACCCTCATGTTCTTTCCTAAGGTTCTCTTCTATTCACAAAAGGAAACTACAGCATTCAATCTTGCCACTCAGATTTCACTTATTTATGAGCCCAAAGGTAGCAGCATTCCACCACTAGATGGTGTCCTAGATGAATTAACACAGAATTATCACTTCCAAGCAAAGTGGAAGAAAAAAAAATGTTTGATCACATGACAGCAAGTAGCAAGCCAGATTGTAATCATTCAACTGGCATCTAAGAATGCTACAGTCCAGGCCCACACACCTAGCTAATCTAATCAACAGGCTGCCTTATCTACAATTACTCAGCAAAACAACGAAAGTGCAGTGTGGCCAAGTGATAGAACACTAGCCTTAATTAAGCAAAAAGGAAAAAGAAAAAAAGCTCAGGGACAGAACCAAGGCCCCAAGTTCAAGCCCAGGACAGTATTTAAAAAAATGTGCATCTTTAGAAAAACATTAACCAATATGAGTGACCTCTCAACAAACAGGGCTGGTGCATACTCATGCACTGACATTCAGGTGGACAGTGACTGGCAACAGTTGAGGTTTCCTCTTTATTAAAACGGCAAAGCATGGGGCTGGGAAGGTGGCTCAGTGGTAGAGTGCTTGCCTTGCATGCATGAGGCCCTGGGTTCAATTCCTCAGCACCACATAAGCAGAAAGAGCCAGGAGTGGCGCTGTGGCTCAAGTGGTGGAGCGCTAGCCTTGAGCTGAAGGATAGCGCCCAGACCCAGAGTTCAGGCCCATGACTGAAAAAAAAGGTAAATAAAACTGCAAAGCATGCAAATAGACCAACTCATCACAAAACTGTTTCGTGGTCTTGTTCCGGGGTCTGAACTCTAGGCCTTGAGCTGTCCCTTAGCTTTTGTGCTCAAGGCTAGCCCCTCTACCTGAACCCCTTCTCCCTTTTTGGTGGTTAAGTAGAGATAACATTCTCACGGACTTTCCTGCCAAGATTGGTTTTAAACCCCAATCCTCAGGTCTCAGTGAGTAGCTAGGATTACAAGAGTAAACCACACACCATGAAACTGGGTTGTTTTTTGTTTTTGTTTATCTTTATGTCAGTCGGTGAGGCCTGAACTCTGGGCCTGGGCACTGTTCCTCAGCTCTTCAGCTCAAGGTTCTGCTCTACCATTTGAGCCACAGCGCCACTTCTGGCTTTTTCTGCTTATGTGGTGCTGGGGAATCAAACCCAGGGCCTCATGCATGCAATACAAGTGCTCTAAAAACTGCGCCACCTTCCCAGCCTGAAGATGAGTTTTTAAGTGGAGCTATGGCTCAAAATGGTAGAGCGCTAGCCTTGAGTGAAAGAGCTCAGGGACAGTGCCCCACCCTGATTTCAAGCCCCACCCACCCCCCAAAAAACCTGGGTTTTTAATTTGCTAGATTGAAAGCCATTAACAGTGGTTATGAGAACAATGGGATATTTGCTTGAAACTGTTAAAGATAAACAGGGAAAACAGCTTTACCAGTTAATATAAGGGGATGAACCAATGCCTCCATCCACCTAGAATACAATCCCAGCACCCACGAAGCTGAAGGAAGAACAGAAGGAAACCAACCTGGGCCTGTTCTCAGGAAGAGTGGGGGAGGAGAGGAGGCTTCTTAAAAAGTAAGAGTTTGCAAATTTCACAATCAGAATTATTCGACAACTACTGTATCTAACAGGTCAGTGCAGAACAAAATAAGTTCCAAAATAAGCTTTGAAGACAATGCTCAAACCCATCAAATTTCTTTGAAGGCTCTCAGTATTCTTCATTCCCATCACTCATCTCCCTCAACCCCACAAAACACCAAGTAATCACACAGGAGGCTGAGACAGGAAGAGCAGAGCTTGATGCTCTCTGGGATTACATAGGGACATCACCAGAATTCCCACCCCCAGTTACCGTGCTTGAACTCAAGGCCTGGGCCCTGTCCCTGAGCTTTTCTGCTCAAGGCCAATACTCTAACATTCTTAGCCACACTCTACTTCCAGTTTTCTGGTGGTTAACTGGAGATAAAGAGTCTCAGGGACCTGCCTGGGCTGGCTTTGAACTGCAATCCTGAAATGAGTCTCTGAGTATCTAGAATTACAAACACGCATCACCAGAGCTGGCTTAAGTTTTTTGGGGTTTTTTTGCCAGTACTGGGACTTGAACTCAGACCTTAAGATCTATCCCTGATCTTGGTTTTGCTCTACCGCTTGACCCACAACACCACTTCTGGCTTTTTGGGTGTAGTTTGTTGTAGATAAGAGTCTCTTGAGGCTTTCCTGCCATAGCTGACCTTGAACTGTGATCCTCAGATTACAGAGGTGAACCACTGGCACCCAGCTTATTTTTTTTTTGCCAGTCCTGGAGCTTGAACTCAGGTACTGGGCCCTGAGCTTCTTTTGCTCAACACTAGTACTCTGCCACTTGAGCCATAGTGCCACTTCTTTTCTGTTTATGTGGTGCTGAGTAATGGAACCCAGGGCCTCATGCATGCAGGGCAAGCACTCTACCACTGAGCCACCTTCCCAGCTATGTTTTTAACTTGAGGTCCTGGGTTCAATTCCTCAGTACCACATAAGAAGAAAAAACCAGATGTGGTGCCGTGACTCAAGTGGCAGAGCACTAACCTTAAGCTAAAGAGCTGAGGGATAGAGCTCAGGCCGAGTTCAAGCCCCACAAGACAGAGACAGAGACAGAGAGGCAGACAGAGAGGCAGGCAGAGAGGCAGGCAGAGAGGCAGGCAGGCAGGCAGGCAGGCAGGCAGGCAGACAGACAGACACACACACACAGAGAACTTGGGGGGGGAGGGCAAAGCAGTGCAGCAGTGGAGCACACTGGACATGGATCAAAGTGAACTATGCAACTCATGGGTGGAGATGGGAGGGAGAGAATGGGGGAGAGAACAGATGACACTGTATGAAAGTAAATGTAAGCTGGGAACCGGTGGCTCACGCCTGTAATCCTAGCTACTCAGGAGGCTGAGATCTGAGGATCGCATTTCAAAACCAGCCTGGGCAGGAAAGTCTAGACTCTTACCTCAGATTACCCAGCAGAAAACTGGAAGTGGCGCTGTGGCTCAAGTGGTAGCATGATAACCTTAAGCTGAGGGACAGCGCCCAGGCCAGGAGTCCAAGCCCCATGATGGCCAAAAAAATTTAAAAAAAAGAAAGGAAATGTACTTATTACCTGATGTATGTAAATGTAACCCTTCTGTCTAACTCCTCTGTAAGAAAACTTAAAAAACAAAAACAAAAAAACAGCCAGATGCTGGGGTTCATGCCTGTCATATGAATGCTAGAATCCAAAGATCACAGTTCAAAGCCAACCCAGGCAGAAAGGTCTGGGATATTCCCAATTAACCACCAAAAAGCCAAAAGTAGAGCTGTGGTTCAAGTGACAGGGTGTTAGGCTTGAGCCAAAAAAGCTCAGAGACAGTTCAAGGCTCAGTACTGGCACACATTATTACTATTATCTTAGAAGCTGGTGACTTCTGGCTCACACCTGTAATCCTACAGGAGACTGAGATACAGAGACTCTCTGGTTCAAATATAGCCTGGATTAAAAAAAAAAGTCCAGGGCTGGGAAGGTGGCTCAGTGGTAGAGCGCTTGTCTTGCATGCCTGAGGCCCTGGGTTCGATTCCTCAACACCACATAAGCAAAAAAGAAAAAAGCTGGAAGTGGCACTGTGGCTCAAGTGGTAGAGCGCTAGCCTTGAGCTGAAGAGCTGAGGGACAGCGCCCAAGACCCCACAACCGGACACCACCCAAAAATAAATAAATAAAAATAAAGTCCATTGAGACTGTCTCAATAATCATCAAAAAGCAGAGTTGGAGGCAGATGAGACCATGAGCTAAAACTCCAATGCCTCCAAAAAAGTAAAATTTAAGCGTATCATTCTCCCACTTCCAATTAAACCATCCACATCTACAAGGGCTACACCGAAGGCACCTCCCCGAGTTTCACCTTCTACATAGTCCAAAAAGCCTACATAGCCTAAGTGTAAATGGAACTCACCATTTTATGAGAGCAAGGACATGTAAAAGGCTTCCCTAACCCAAGGGAGCTAAGTTTCTTGGTGCTGAAACAAACAGCCTAGAGGAGGGAACACCGAGGGGAGAGAGATTTCTCACTACTCTCAGACGCTGGGAAATTCGCAATCAGAGAAAACGAGGTAAACCTGGAGAGCTGGTAGAGCCCAAGTTGAGGCGACAACCGAGCCACTTGGCTAGTTTCTTTCTTTTCTTTTCCCCTCTTGCTCTAACTTTTCCAGAAAATTAGTGGTCTTGAAACAGTTCGGGTGCAGCTCGGGCGTGAGCGCTTCTCCAGCACTGGATCCGAGCTTAGGCCATGCAGCCCTGGCACAGCCAGCCCACGGCACAAACGGAAACTGGAAACCACCGAGGACGCCCGCGCCCAGCCTCCCCGCGCCCCGCGCTCCGGCTCCCCGCC